CCTGAACACACCTGAACACACCCACACCTGTACACACACACACACACACCTGAACACACACACACACCTGAACACACACACCTGTACACGCACACAGGGGTGAACTTGGTTCTGTTTTCTTCTGTTGGGTTTTTAAAGTTCTCATGGTTCTGTTTGGTTCTGGCAGCAGGTTCTGTTCAATCTTCTGATGTTTGTGTGTCTGTGTAGAAAGCACCAAGCGTTAACGGGACCGGAGGATCCGAGGAGGTAAAACGAACCGGGTCAGAACCTGCTTCTGCTGTTTCCCAAAACGTCTCTGACTCTAGAACTTCTGAAGAACCTCTGGTTCTGGCCGGTTCTGATGGAGAACCCAGAACCTGCAGACGTTTTGTGAAACCTGCTGCTGTGGGTGTTTGTGATTGGCTGGTGGGCTGTGATGTCACTTCCTGTTTCCAGCTCGAGGCGCTCCGAGGAGGACCAGGTTCTGTTTGTGATTCGGATCTTTAACCTAAACTCCACCCGCTCTGAGCGCCCCGGGCTGCAGAAACGAGCGCTCCTTCTCTGGCTAACAGTGCTGCGGTGTGCGTTTGGGTTTTTATTAACGGGCTGACGGTGCGGTTCTGCTCCGACGGGTTGGGTTGGTTCTGCTAAATTCACATCCAAAGTTGGCGATGTCAAATGATCAAAGTTGTTCAATCAAAAACCAGTTCCAGAGCCGAGTCCGGTTCTGAGCGACCCGACCCACACGGAGACAGAAACCGTTCCCGCTCATGTCTGCGTGGTTTTTAAGGTTTTCTTGTTTTCAAACGAACTAACCCGAAGACGAGCGGAAACATTTTTATTCTCACGGGAGAATCAGAAATTCTTAACGGACGTGAAGAACGAGCAGCGCAGGACGGAGCTCCTCACAAGATGGCTGCCGAAGATCTCATCGACCACCAGCAGTGGCAGATCCAGTGTTTCTCTAGTTCAGTGGGCGTGGCTCCATGCAGCCCTCAGTGAAGCACGGCGGTGGCAGCACCATGCTGAGGGGTGTTCAGCAGAGACCTTCACAAAAACTGTTCGGTGTCCTCCGTCCAGAGGGGACACTGACATTGACGGGTCTTCTGTCAGTCCAAATGTCTTAACTCAGAACCAGCAGATCTGCAGACCGTTGGACTTTTGTCCAACACCAGATCGTGTTTGTTGTCTTTTTATTGGCCCCGCTGGAGTCCAAACGTCTCAGGTCTTCAGTGTTAGAACAAAGACTGACTTGAATCAGACTTTCTGTCTCGTCTTGTTTCAGGTTCTGACTGACCTGCAAGTAAAATTTGACCCGTTTTCTTTTTTGGTCCCATTTTAGACCAAAGACGATCGAACCCAGGAGGACAGAGTCTGTCGTCCCTCTGAAATGATCATTCTTCACTCTTTGTTTAGCAGGAGATGACTTCTAGTTCTGCTGGTTTCAGGGGACAATAAAACCATCAGACCACCCTCTGGTCTCAGGTCTTGGGTCTTTGGTCTATGGTTTCTGGTCTCAGGTGTCTGATCTTTATTTTCAGGTCTATGGTTTCTGGTCTTAGGTCTCTGGACTCTAATTTCAAGTCTCTGTTCTCAGGTCTCTAGTGTTTGATTTCAGGTCTTAGGTGTCAGGTCTAAGGCCTCTGGTCTAAGTTCTCAGTTCTCTGGTCTATGGTCTCCGGTCTAAGTTCT